ACGCTGTCCTCCTGGGATTCTGCCAAACAGTCAGAAAAGGTCAATGATGCTCCAAGAGAGCTTTCCCAAACAGGGCAACCCTGTGCCAGTTTGTAGCCTTATGCTAAGAACTGCCCAGCAAACCTAGGTGGTCACAATAGGGAGTTTAAGTGCTTTACTAAACTCGTAAGCATGTAACTGGGGAGTAAGTAGATGAAAAGCACTGAAGTATAAATAATAGCTAATGAAACCAAACAATATTTCAGTGAATAGATGAAAAAACTACAGGCTTTACCTACGCTTTGGAGATTAAATGCATTAAAAAGTGCTGGTGCATCTAAAAGTGGGAACTCCAGCAGGGACACGAGTTCTGGAGGAGGGAAACAATTCCACAACAGAGACCTTCTTTCACTGGTCTCCCATTTTATGAATTATGCTATTCCATCAGAAAGCTGGGTGTAGCACTGTAGTTCTCCATCATGCTTGCATCTGTTAACAAAGGTGATGGAAAATACAATCTCACATATGATGCATCCTGCTATTTTTTTCCCTACATGTTAGCCCATGTATTAATGCAACATTCCCTAAAAACCAAGAGGGATCAGCATTCCTTCTTCTCATCACACTTAGTCAACACAAGCTCACAGCCTGCTGTGTTCACAGAGTACACCGTGTGAGCACTCTGTGTATACAGTGACTCTCTTGCATGTGGCAGATAGCTGGATTGGGGAAGAAATCTTTGGTCTGAGTCCTGCTTTATCTTTGTAGGGCCAGTGGCAGGTGTTTGCTTGTGATATGCCACGGAACATAGACTGTGTGTCCCTCTTCTTGCTGGCTGTGATAAATCTGGGTCAAAGGAGCAGCCTGTATCCAAACATCCTGCCCCTGACAGCAGCCCAGCCTATGAGAAGTGACTCCTTGAACCCCTTGATGGAAGCTCCCAGACTTGTGACAAGCGTGGGTCACCTCTGGGAGTAAACTGTGGGTTGGTTGCCTCCCCAGAGCTGGTTTCATTGCACAGGAGGAAATAACGTTTGTTTTGAAGCTGGTCCTCCTCAGGCGCTCCTGGTTTTTTTAGGTGTGGTGCTCATCACTGCCCACGGTGTGTCAAAGACAGACTTTCTCCCAGCAATGCCAGTTGGCCCAGACAGTTCCTAGGAACACAGAGCATGTTTGCTGCATGTGTGTGTGGTAACATGCCCACACATGGATCTGAACAGCTGCATGTATCACAATGAAGCCTTAAGAAAACAACACCCGGCAGAGTGACAGTAAAGGTTCTTTGTAATCAAAACTGGATTTAGAGATCAAGAAAATTTAGCTCTATATTCTAAAAAGAGGAAAAATCAACATTATCTTGAAGGGACCTGATAACTTAGTCCTTTACCTGCTTCTTTCTGCTCAAGTGGAGTTGCACTTGCACAGTCCCTGTGAATTTGCAGCCAGCCAGTGAAGTCCCCACTGAAGGCCACTGCACAGGTACATGGATGTAACAACAGCTCTCCAATGCGTTAAGAAATGTGTGTTAGTAAATATGTCTTTGTACAGATGTTTATGGAAACTTATTGCTAAGTTGTACATCATGGTAACAAGTTTTTATAGGTCAATTTCAATCTGTCCTTAGCTAAAATCTCTTTCACTCTCTCTTCACCTTTTCCTCCTCAAGCAGATTTGTCTTGACAGATTGGAGATGTAGGGTTGCTTACTGAAACAGTCCTTACATCTTGGTCTGCAGAAAGCACCTTTTGTGCCGGTTCCTCAACAAGTCTCTCATGAGATGGTTGGATTCCTTAGTCTCTGAACAGAACTAGAACAAGAACGATATTATTCAAATGTAGATTCAAATGTAAGATAAAATCCACCTGTCTCATGCAAAAAAAGAGATTGGCAGAGAAGACTTCATTTAAATGAAAAGTAATGAAAAACACATGAATGAACACTATGCTGGGAAAATTTTCAAAATGTGTCATAAACAGTTTACTCAATACCAAGGTACTGTGCTTGGAAGCCTGGATTTTTATTTCTGATGCTTAACAGTTGATTAGTGCTGTCAGCACCACTTTCCCTTTCTCTATTCCTGATGCAATCCATAGAGATAACAACTATCTCTAGCTCTGTTCATGTTGCCTGGAAGTGGGAACCAAGTGCCTGTGTTGATGAGAACCAGCTGAAAATGGATTATTGCCAAGAGAATTAACATAGCACCCTAAGTAAGAAAACAGGAACTTGGCTATAGAATTATTTATGCATGGTTGTGTCTCTTTCTTTGTTTGTTTTAGATGCAGTGAAAAGTGATTATAGAATACTGTGTACTGCTAAACTTCTGTCTCATGAATGAGGCATCTGTAGAACTTTAAACCTCAGTGACAATAATTAAGCTCCTGGAAGAAAACTAGAAGTATTGTTCAAAATCTGTGCTGAAACTGATTCTTTTATAGAGTGGGATACTTCTGTCCTGGTCCTCTACCAGCTTTATTCAGCACAGAAAGTTGGTCTGTAACTGGTGTCCCAGCATCACCTCTAGCTGGTGAAAGTGTCCCTGCCAGGGCCACTTCAGCAGTGGCTGGTGAGCTCCTGGAGAGCCTGTCTGGTGAGCAGACTCACCTCAGTCCCAACAAGTGACTGCTCTTCATTAACTGACAGGACTTTTTTCTAACCATAAAATCTAAATGCTTTCTAGTTCTAATTCAATGTTTGATAGTGCTTTTTTGGGGGGAATTTACAAACTCCTTGGTGCTCTCTTCTCTTTACACAAAGGAATTAAGTGTGGGATATCATTTAAAGGTCTGTGTGCTTGGCATACTGACAGAAAAACTTCTGTGGCTGTGGTACTTTGTCTTATCCTAACATGCTGAATCCCATTGTGATAGTGGTTTCCGGTTTTAGAAACAGTCTTTCCTGGATATCTCTGAAAGGTTTCTTCTAGGCGTGCTGAAAAATGGATCTCAACAAAGAAGGGACAAAGAAGAATGGAGGAGAGAAATTCTGTTTTCACAAGAATGAAAGTTTGGCAAATAAGGCCCAAGACACTGTAAGGAAAAGAGATGTGAGGTAAGTGCTCACAGATGCTACCAGACATACACTGTTCCATAGCAAGGAAATACTGCTGCTCCACACAGGCTTGCATCAAACACCACAGAGGGCATAGCAGAGTGATCTATGAGGTCCTAAAGTCTGGATCATATTCTCCCCTAGCTGACACATCTCCCATAATTCAAGTTTACTGGCTGAAAAGAAGCTTTCTAGACCCACATAAATTGAGTCACCCCCCATGCTGCCTGTAAAGCTTTGCACGTGTTTCCTTAATTATAGAGTGCTCTTGGTTCTTCCTTGTGTTAGGCTCTTCAAAATCAGGTGACACAGACATGACCTGTCTTCTGGGCTAGGTGGGTGGCTTGGTCTCTCAATACAGGACAACGCCTCCCCTTTCACCACCTGCTCTGTGCCCCAGCCACTGAGACAGTGGATCTGCACTGTACCTGGGCCCTGAAAGATGGGATGGGATGTGCACTGGTGCTGTGCCACAGGCAGCAGGAGCTGCACTGTGAAAAAACCTCCATGTTCCCCCAAAGCAGCAGCTCCATGCATAAGTCACACTGCTTGTGCATGGGCAGGGATACCAGCTGTATGGTCCCAGGAGTGCAACTGGATGCCTGGCTCTGGCATGTGGCCTTTTGCTGAGGCCTCATTCCTTAGCATTGCTGCTGCTTGGGGGCTCTGCAAATGCTTCCCCTCCTCTGAACCCGCTATTTCCATGCCACTGCTTTCATCTTGCTAGGGAGTAATGAAACAAAACAGGCCCTAATAATACCAAATTCAGTCAAAGGATCCAACCCAGACCTCCAGTGACTTTCCGCCACTAAGGCTGCCCTCTTAGTGCCCTGTGCCAAGTTAGGTCTTGTCTTGTTGTTCAAGCAGCTGCTTAGTGCCATGATCTTAGGTGACATCTAGGGGACATCTCTGCATATCCCAGCTGGTTTGGCAACATCACCTGTATGAATAATTAGAGTCCAAAGAAGACAGGCCTACAGGTGTGAGAGTCATGTTGCTTCCTTGGGTAATGCCAGAAAAATAGCAACCCTCAGTTCCCATAGAGAGGCACCTCTTCTGAGTTATGTAGTCAGACCTGAGGAAGGACAAGGCTCAGGCTACACATTCTTTGATAGTCTCATCACCAAAACTAGTGTGTTATCCCAGGGTTAAGCTCTGGGACCCCTCAGGGTACAGTGACACATCTGCAGGACTTGCTGGTGGCCACTGGCAAGGTGGATGCAGGCAACTCCCAGCCACTGTTATTGCCAGTGTTGCCTGTTTGCTATTTTGGTGGTTGGTTTGTTTGGTTCGCTTTTGTTGTGTTTTCTGTTGTTTTTGTTTGTTTGTTTTAATCAGGCTTGCCTCAGGACTGGCAGGCACTGTGGGGCTCATGGAAATACCGTGAAAGCAGAAGATTACACCCCCTGGTTTCCAAAACGACCACTACATTTACTCCCGTGTGTTACCGCTGAAGATGAATAGATCACACGGACACATGTTGAGGTGTGGTGAAAGAAAGAGCAGAGTTTATTTTTCCCCCCAGGATTTATAGGCTTTTGACCACGGCCAGGGATTGGATGGTCAGGATAACACTTTCTCACTGCACTGGCCATGAGAAATGCCCATCACAAGACGTGTAACAGAAAGAATGTACACATATCTATGTTTACAGTTACTGTCCTGGGAAAGTCCTTAGAAAACTATGTTAGCAAGCTCAGAAGCTGAGTTTTCAGGGCAACACCCGTGTTTCACCCCTGCTTTTACAATGAGCAAAGGAAGAGGATGCTGTGCCTCCCGCCTGCCTGGGCGCTGCCACTCGCGGAGCTCCTGCTCTTTGGCCCTTCACTGCAAGTGTTCCCAGGGTGACTGTGATAATAGGGCTGACGGTGGTTCCTAACAACGGGCAGTGCCACCCCTCTGATCGGTGTCACCAGCTGAGCTGATATAAAAAAGAGAGGATGCTTACTCTCTGTGGGGAGCTGCTGGTGTGCCCTCTCCTGGCTGCTGAGGCAGACAAGCTCTTTGGCATTGATTATCTCTCTGCTAACTTAATTCCAGCCTGGGCAGGCAGTTGTCGCAATTCCAGTTAAAAAGTACTTCTGGTGGCAGTGAGTAGTCATGAGTTTGTCTCACCTAAGCAGAGCTGAGAGCCACTTTCAAGTAACGGAGGTGCATGAACTGGAGACAGTGGGGAAGAAAGCTTGGGACAATCCTGTTTACAATGGCTCTCCTTCTACCTCCTTGAAAATTCAAACCATCTACAACCCCAAGTCTGTCCTGGAGAATCCCTATGAGAATTTTGAAGAGATTGGGGATCCACTGCCCTACCAGGAAGAACAGAGCAAAGCTGTGAATGGGAAGACAAGTCCTTTCCTCAAGTGCTGCTTCTATATCTTCAGAGGCATCCGAGGTAAATCTCTGATATCTCATTAGAAGGGACTTATTAGCTCTCAGAGCAATGTTGTGGGAAGGAGGGGAGGAAGAGAAAGGATGCAGAAGGCAGAAACCTCATAGTGTCTGTGCAGCCCAGGGACCTGTTCAACATGCAGTAGCATTATTCCAGAGATCATCTTTGGCTGACCTGAAAGGAGCATCCTCGTTCTGTGTGCCTTGCTATAGCTTCATGGTCTGTCCTGTTACCTTTACTACAAGGCAAGAGACTTAGTGGTGTGCTCAAGGTCGTGCAGTGAATCTCCAGGAGCCATCACTGTGGTGGTGAGACTATTCTGTCTTTGTGTGCATTTTCTAGATAGAGTGGTACTGGTCCCTGTGCTACAGCAACATAAGAACTGATAGACTTATCTACCAGAGAAAAATCTAGCACTGTCAGGACTGAAATTTAGGGGGGGGGGGGTTTACAGAAATTTATCAAAAACTGCTTTACTTG